CACCACCGGCCCAGAGTCCCACCACCGGCCCAGAGTCCCACCACTGGCACAAGAGTCCCACCACCGGCCCAGAGCCCCACCACCGGCCCAGAGCCCCACCACCGGCCCAGAGTCCCACCACCGGCACAGACTCCCACCACCGGCCCAGAGTCCCACCACCGGCCCAGAGTCCCACCACCGGCCCAGAGTCCCACCACCGGCACAGACTCCCACCACCGGCCCAGACTCCCACCACCGGCACAAGAGTCCCACCACGGGCCCAGAGCCCCACCACCGGCACAAGAGTCCCACTATCGGCACAAGAGTCCCACCACCGGGGAGTCCCAGAGTCCCACCACCGGCCCAGACTCCCACCACCGGGAGTCCCAGAGTCCCACCACCGGCACAGACTCCCACCACCGGCCCGCACAGCGTCCCGGCCCTGCCAAGGGCAGCGGGTCGAGGGGGTCCAGGGTCCTGTCTAGCTGCCGGTCTTTGGCTTCGGTCTTCAAGCGGTCCCCGATTGGCTGGGGAGGTCCCCTTTTATGCCCCTTGCCCATTGAGGGGTGGGGCTGCGAGGGATCCTAGACCCCCCCCCTCGTTGGGGGCACCAAGGGGCTTAGCTGTCTGGGAATCCTGATCCGCGGGCCACAATGGGTACAAAAATTTGACAAGAGGGGCCGGGCCAGGAACAGACTAAGTATAAATGGCATGTTAAAAAATCATTACGTGAAAGGGTTTGGCCTTTAACAGGTAGCAAAGCGTTTATTTGCGAGGCGATTTAACAAATTGCACGAACACGAACGATATAAAAACGTGTCGTAACTCCCGGTCAAAGTGCGCCATCTAATGGGGAAATGGGGGCATTGCAGGAGAAAGGTAAAAATGTGTTTAATAATAATCATAATATTTGGACGATTTAACACGTAGCAGGCTTTCGCGACCAATGTTATTCGTAATAAAGGTTTTTGGGTTAGATCGCGTTATTTATAAATGTGTCGTAACCCTCCACCACCCGACACGGCCAATCAGCAAAAAAAGTGTCACGTTGACAAAAGACAAATAGTTCACCACTTTAGCTCCACACTGGTGTGTTGAAGAGTGAATCCACAACATTTACAGTTTGAGTAGTACTGTGACGTTTCGCTGGTAAATACATCCAGCATCATCGGGCAATTCGCCAGAATGGTAAAGCCCTCGCTTGCTCCCGGTCTTAAATAGAGTGGCAGGGTGACGTCATCATTCAACTCATTTCAGGTGCAGTGATTTGAGGCGGAGGAGGGGGGGGGGTATTGTAATTATATAATCGATTGGTAATCAGTCAATGGTTATGACTAGTAATGAGTTGCGGATTAGTAATGAGTTGTAATGTGTGTTATTGCGATTATATGCTACGTTAGTAAATCCGTTAATTAGCATGTGTTTCCCCTGCAAGGAATTGTAATGCGTATTATTTAATAATACGCTTCCAGGCCGCACTAAGCCACCGTTTGGACAAGGTCGGCGGGCGGGATTAAGAAGCCCAACGGGCCGCACCGGACTTTGCCCGCGTCTGATCTGTGGTGCCACATGTTCACGGCGATAGCCCTGTGAGCCGCGGGGCTCTTGAGTCGTCGGGCGGTGCAACCGCAACAAGGAGAATGTGAACGGAGAGGCATCTTGAAGCGACGACGCGCGACGGAAACATCCTGGGATTTCGATCTGAAGCTTTCGTGGCTCCAGCGATGCTTCCTATTCTTGGTTCTTTCGGTAAAGTCGCTTGGAAGGGAAACAATGAAATGATGCAAATATATGAAGCAATCAAATTCTGAACGCGCGGCGGACTCGTCCATCTGAACAAACTGTTAAATCGCCCTCCGTGGTGCTAACGTTGCAACAACAACAAAAAACGCCGCTTTTTTCAAATTTCCTTGCTGTGGTTTTCACACCTGATGACGGGCGTTGCAATTGCAACGCAAGCAATCGTCATCAGGTGTGCAGTGGTTTTCACGTAAAAATAGAACAATTAAGTTCTCACGACGTTTCAATGGCAACGCGAGCAATCATCTTCAGGTGTGACAGAACCACGGCAGGAAAATTTTACTCTTTTCCCGATCTTCCTGCCGTGGGTTTTCACGCCTGAAGATGACTGCTTGTGTTGCGGTCGAAACCGTCGTGAGAATTTTAGTGCGTTTGATTTTTGCTGCTTTGTTATTTCCCTTCGACGTGACTTTGCCGAGAGAACCAAGGAATAAGCAACACCCTGGATGGACCAGCAAATCTTCCAGAAGGAAAACGCCGCATTGCAACGCTGTGTGCAAAAAAATAAAATCCCAGCTTGATGCAAGTCGCACAATAACAACAACAACAACAACCATGTGACATGGTGAAGTGATATGTCGAAGTGACATGGTGAAGTGTGGGTAACGACCACCAGGAAGTCGTTCCTTGTTAACCGCTAATCAGTGCCCGAACATCTTACAGGCCGATTAAGACCCCATTGGTCGCCCCGTGCCCCCTTTATAAATCCACTAAACTACGATACACTGCACTATTATACACTACACTATACACTGCACTATTATACACTACACTATATACCACACGACTATACACTGCACGATACACTACACTATACACTGCACTATTATACACTACACTATATACTACACTACTATACACTGCACTATACACTACACTATACACTACACTATACACTGCACTATTATACACTACACTATATACTACACTACTATACACCACTATACACTACACTATTATACACTACACTACTATACACTACACTATTATACACTGCACTATTATACACTACACTATACACTACACTACTATACACTACACTATGATACACTACACTACTATACACTACACTATACACTGCACTATTATACACTACTATACACTACTATACACTATACTATACACTACACTATACACTATTATACACTACACTATATACTAGACTACGATACACTACACTATTATACACTACACTACTATACACTACACTACTATACACTACACTATACACTACACTACTATACACTACACTATATACTACACTACTATACAGTACACTACTATATACTACACTATACACTACACTACTATACACTACACTACTATATACTACACTATACACTACATTACTATAAACTACATTACTATAGCAAGATGGCGGCTACAACCTGTCCCCTCCCCCGAGGATTGTTTTGGCGCCAAATTTTGAATCGCCTCCGAAGGCGACCAATGAGACGTCGAGTTTGGTCGAGGGCGTCACCGCTTGCTGCCCAATGGCGTTGCATGAGAGTGCGGGGTGATGGGGGGGGGGTCTAAGGGGGTAGTGGTGGGGGGGGGGTGGTGGTAGTGGTGGGGGGGGGTGGTGGTGGTAGTGGTGGGGGGGGTGTGGTGGTGGTGGGGGGGGGTGGTGGTAGTGGTGGGGGGGGGGGTGTGGTGGTGGGGGGGGTGGTGGGGGGGGTGCGTTTTGGTGGGTGGTTGTGGTGGTGGTTGTAGTGGGTGGTGGTGGTTGTGGTGGCTGGTGGTGGAGTGGAGTTGTGGTGGTTGTGATGGTTGTGGTGGGTGGTTGTGGTGGGTGGTTGTGGTGGTGGATGAGTGGTGGTGGGTGGTTGTGGTGTGTAGTTGTGGTGGTTGTGGTGTGTAGTTGTGGTGGTTGTGGTGTGTAGTTGTGGTGGTTGTGGTGGCTATACGGGTGGTGGATTGGTGCTTGTTGTGGTGGATGGTGGTGGGTGGTTGTGGTGGCGGGTGGTTGTGGTGGTTGTGGTGGGTGGTTGTGGTGTTTGTGGTGGTGGGTGGTTGTGGTGGTGGGTGGATGAGTAGTGGTTGTGGTCGGTGGTTGTGGTTGTGGTGGATGGTTGTGGTGGTGGGTAGTGGTGGATGAGTGGTGGTGGGTGGGTGGTGGTGGTGGATGGTTGTGGTGGTTGTGGTGGTGGATGAGTGGTGATGGGTGGTTGTGGTGGGTGGTTGTGGTGGTTGTGGTGGGTGGTTGTGGTGGTTGGTTGTGGTGGTGGATGAGTGGTGGTGGGTGGTTGTGGTGGGTGGTTGTGGTGGTTGTGGTGTGTAGTTGTGGTGGTTGTGGTGGCTATACGGGTGGTGGATTGGTGCTTGTTGTGGTGGATGGTGGTGGGTGGTTGTGGTGGCGGGTGGTTGTGGTGGTAGTGGGTGGTTGTGGTGGGTGGATGAGTAGTGGTTGTGGTGGGTGGTTGTGGTGGTGGTTGTCGTGGATGGTTGTGGTGGTGGGTGGTGGTGGATGAGTGGTGGTGGGTGGGTGGTTGTGGTAGTGGATGGTGGGTGGTTGTGGTGGTGGGTGGTGGTGGTTGGTGGTTGTGGTGGTGGTGGGTGGTGGTGGGTGGTTGTGGTGGTGGTGGTTGTGGTGGTGGATGGTGGTTGTGGTGGTAGTGGGTGGTTGTGGTGGCGGGTGGTTGTGGTGGTGGATGAGTGGTTGTGGTGGTGGATGAGTGGTGGTGGTGGGTGGTGGATGAGTGGTGGTGGATGGTGGTTGTGGTGGTAGTGGGTGGTTGTGGTGGTGGATGAGTGGTTGTGGTGGTGGATGAGTGGTTGTGGTGGGTGGTTGTGGTAGTGGGTGGTTGTGGTGGTAGTGGGTGGTTGTGGTGGTGGATGAGTGGTTGTGGTGGTGGATGAGTGGTTGTGGTGGGTGGTTGTGGTTGTGGTGGTTGTGGTGGTTGGAGCGGTTAGCGCTACGCTGCGCTATGAACCTGGCGACCCGGGTTCGATTCCCGCTCACGGCCAACACCACCAGTGACGATTATCTGAACCGGGTCCTGGGCCTTCCCCTAGGTCGACTCAGCCTCAAATGAGTTACCTGGTGCGGTGTGTCGTAGTAAACATCGCCACTAGGGAGAGACAAAGGCGGCCGGGCGTGGTGCTGGCCACCCAACCCCCTCGTGTGCCGTTACCGGCCTTAATAGGTGCTCGCTAACAGCACTTGCCCCTACAGTCTGTTACAGGCTACACGGGGGATCTTTGTCTTTGTGGTGGTTGGCTAGCACCCCGCGCATGCGCACAAGCGCCACAGCAGCAGCAGCAGCGCGAACGGAAGTTTTGAAAGGCCGTCATTTTCATTTTTTTCGGCGTTTTTTTTGTTGTTGCGCGCGTGTCGATATTTGTGCGAACCCCGGACTTCCCCGCGCAGGTAAAACGCAAAATCTCAACACGTACGGAGCGAAAGTCTCAATAGAATTCTGTTTTTTTTTTAAATGCATTATTGTTAAATCGAGAATGTGACCCTACGTGCGGCCTAGTCCGTAGCACCGACGCCTACGGCTTGCCTGGAAACGGTGCCGTGTTTGGCGCGACCTCGGCCGCTGGGCTGCCTCATCTCCACACCCCTCCCCCTCTCTTTCCTCAATGGCTTCCTTTTTGTTTACACCGCTTCACCAATCTTTGCCGATGTTGTTTACCGTCGGTAACTATTGTTAATGTGTGTGCAGTGGATTCACTCTCTAACACGCAACCGATTACCCACAGACTACTCACAGAGACCCACAGACTCACCACACAGAGACCCACAGACTCACCACACAGAGACCCACAGACTCACCACACAGAGACCCACAGACTCACCACACAGAGACCCGTAGACGACTCACACAGAGACCTGTAGACTACTCACACAGAGACCCATAGACTACTCACACAGTAGAGACCCACAGACTACTCACACAGTAGAGACCCACAGACTACTCACACAGTAGAGACCCACAGACTATTCACACAGTAGAGACCCACAGACTACTCACACAGTAGAGACCCATAGACTACTCACACAGTAGAGACCCACAGACTACTCACACAGTAGAGACCCACAGACTACTCACACAGTAGAGACCCACAGACTATTCACACAGACTCACCACACAGAGACCCATAGACTCACCACACAGAGACCCACAGACTCACCGCACGAAGACCCACAGACTCACCACACAGAGACCCACAGACTCACCACACAGAGACCCACAGACTCACCGCACAGAGACCCACAGACTCACCACACAGAGACCCACAGACTCACCGCACATAGACCCACAGACTCACTCACACAGAGACCCACAGACTCACCACACAGAAACTCACAGACTCACCACACAGAGACCGACAGACTCACCACACAGAGACCCACAGCCTCACCGCACAACAGACCCACAGACTCACCACACAGAGACCCACAGACTCACCACACAGAGACCCACAGACTCACCGCACAGAGACCCACAGGCTCACCACACAGAGACCCACAGGCTCACCACACAGAGACCCACAGACTCACCACACAGAGACCCACAGGCTCACCACACAAAGACCCACAGACTCACCGCACAGAGACCCACAGACTCACCGCACAACAGACCCACAGACTCACACAGAGACCCACACACTCACCACACAGAGACCCACAGACTCACCGCACAGAGACCCACAGACTCACCACACAGAGACCCACAGACTACTCACACAGAGACCCACAGACTCACTACACAGAGACCCACAGACTCACCATACAAAGACCCACAGACTCACCACACGGAGACCCACAGACTCACCACACAGAGACCCACAGGCTCACCACACAGAGACCCACAGACTCACCACACAGAGACCCACAGACTCACCGCACAGAGACCCACAGATTCACCACACAGAGACCCACAGACTCACCACACAGAGACCCACAGACTCATCACACAAAGACCCACAGACTCACCACACAGAGACCCACAGACTACTCACACAGACCCACAGACTACTCACACAGACCCACAGACTCGCCGCACAGAGACCCACAGACTACGCACACAGACCCACAGACTACTCACACAGAGACCCACAGGCTCACCACACAAAGACCCACAGACTCGCCACACAGAGACCCACAGACTCACCACACAGAGACCCACAGACTCACCACACAGAGACCCACAGACTCACCGCACAGAGACCCACAGACTCACCACACAGAGACCCACAGACTCACCGCACAGAGACCCACAGACTCACTCACACAGAGACCCACAGACTCACCACACAGAAACTCACAGACTCACCACACAGAGACCGACAGACTCACCACACAGAGACCCACAGCCTCACCGCACAACAGACCCACAGACTCACCACACAGAGACCCACAGACTCACCACACAGAGACCCACAGACTCACCGCACAGAGACCCACAGGCTCACCACACAGAGACCCACAGGCTCACCACACAGAGACCCACAGACTCACCACACAGAGACCCACAGGCTCACCACACAAAGACCCACAGACTCACCGCACAGAGACCCACAGACTCACCGCACAACAGACCCACAGACTGACACAGAGACCCACACACTCACCACACAGAGACCCACAGACTCACCGCACAGAGACCCACAGACTCACCGCACAGAGACCCACAGACTCACCACACAGAGACCCACAGACTACTCACACAGAGACCCACAGACTCACCACTTAGAGACCCACAGACTCACCACACAGAGACCCACAGACTCGCTGCACAGAGACCCACAGACTACTCACACAGTAGAGACCCATAGACTCACCATACAAAGACCCACAGACTCACCACACAGAGACCCACAGACTCATCACAGAGAGACCCACAGACTCACCACACAGAGACCCACAGACTCACCACACAGAGACCCATAGACGACTCACACAGAGACCCACAGACTCACCACACAAAGACCCACAGACTCACCGCACAGAGCCCCAGAGACTACTCACACAGACTCACCACACAGAGACCCACAGACTCACCACACAGAGACCCACAGACTCACCGCACAGAGACCCACAGACTACTCACACAGAGACCCACAGACTCGCCGCACAACAGACCCAACACGCGCGTGTCAAAGAAGCTCGCCGCCGCGACCTCCGCCCCACCGCTCTCCCCTCTCTCCGAAATCTTTCGAAACCTCCCGTGGGCGGACAGGGCCCACCCACGATGGCCAGCGCCTCGACGCAGGGCAACGTCGGCCGGCGCGTCCTCAGCAACCGCACGGACAGCACCGCGCCCGAGGACATGAAGCGTCGTGTCTTCGTGGGCCTCAAGAAGCTGGGCCACCTGGGGCAATACCTGGACCTGCTCAGGCAGCTGTTTGAGAACTTCGGCCCGCTAGACGGTGAGAAGTGGTGGGGAGGTGGGTGGTGGGTGGTGGGTGGGGGGGGTGGGTGGTGGGGGGGGGTGGTGGGGGGGGGGGGTGGTGGGGGGGGTGGATTTTTGGCTCGGCCGTCGACGGTCACCGCACAGCACGGTGCTTTGAGATGCTATCTACACTACACTATACACTACACTATACACTACTATACACTACTACACACTACTATACACTACATTATACACTACACTATACTATACACTACACTATACACTACTACATACTACTATACACTACACTATACACTACTATACACTACACTATACACTACTATACACTACACTATACACTACACACTACACTATACACTACACTACTATACACTTCACTATACACTACACTACTATACACTACACTACTATACACTACACTACTATACACTACAATACACAATGCACTCTACTATACACTACACTACTATACACTACACTACTATACACTACACTACTAAATACTACACTATACACTACTATACACTACACTACGCTACGATACACTTATGATGGTGCTGATGATGATGATGGTGATTGTGGTAATCTTGGTGATGGTGCTGATTATGATGGTGATGGTGCTGATTGTGATGATCGTCGTGGTGATCATGCTGATGGTGATGGTGGTGGTGATGGTGCTGATCGTGATGATGTTGGTGGTAATCGTGGCGATGGCGCTGATGATGTTGGTGGTAATCGTGGCGATGGTGCTTATGATGATGATGAGGATGATGGTGGCGATTGTCATGATGATGGTGGTGACGGTGCCGATTGTGATGATGATGATGGTGGTGCTGATGATGATGATGGTGATTGTCGTGTGACGCTGACGACGGCGGTGCCTTGCGTCCTGTGTGCAGCTCTGGCCACGTTCAATGGGTTCGCGTTCGTGCAGTTCGTCAATGAAAAGGATGCTCACAGTGCCATCGCCGCCCTCTCCGGGAAAGAATTCTACAGCTGCAAGATGGGTACACGGGGACACACACACTACACGCTACACACACACACTACACACACACTACACACACACACTACACACTACGCACACACTACACACACACTACACACACACTACCTACACGCTACACACTACACGCTACACACACACTACGCGCAGACACACTACACACACACTACATGCTACGCGCACACACACTACACACACACTACACACACACTACACACACACTACACACACACGCTACGCACACACTACACACTACGCACACACACTACACACACACACTACACACTACGCACACACACACTACACACACACTACACGCACACACACACTACACACTACGCACACACACTGCACACTACACACACACACACTACACACACTACACACTACGCACACACTACACGCTACGCACACACACACTACACACTACGCGCACACACTACACACTACGCACACACACTACACACACTACACACACTACACACACTACACACTACGCACACACTACACGCTACGCACACACACACACTACACACACTACACACACTACACATACACTACACACACACACTACACGCTACGCACACACACACACTACGCACACACACACTACACACTACACACACACACACTACACACACTACACACACACACTACACACACACACTACACACACTACACACTACGCACACACACACACTACACACTACGCACACACTACACGCTACGCACACACACACTACACACACACTACACACACACTACACACTACGCACACACACACTACACACTACGCACACACACACTACGTGCACACACACTACGCACACACTACACACTACGCGCACACACACACACACTACACACTACGTACACACACACTACACACTACGCACACTACACACACTACACACACACACACTACACACTACGCACACACACACACACTACACACACACACACTACGCACACACACACTACACACACACTACACACACACACACTACACACACACACTACACACTACGCGCACACACACTACACACTACGCACACATACTGCACGCTCACACTACACGCTCACACACACTACACTCTGACACACACTACACACTCACACTACACACACACACTACACACTCACACTACACACTCACACTACACGCTCACACTACACACACACACACTACACACTCACACTACACACTACGCTCACACTACACACTACGCTCACACTACACATTACGCTCACACTACACACTCACACTACACACACACACTATACACACACACACACTACGCTCACACACACTACATACACACACATTACACGCTCACACTACGCTCACACACTACACGCACACACTACACGCACACTACACGCTCACACTACACACTCACACACACTACACACTAGACACTCACACTACACACACACACTATACACACACACTACGCTCACACACACTACATACACACACATTACACGCTCACACTACGCTCACACACTACACGCTCACACTACACGCACACACTACACACACACACACTACACACTCACACTACACACTACGCTCACACTACACACTACGCTCACACACACTACACACACACGCTCACACACACTACACGCTCACACTACACTCACACTACGCACACACACTACACACTCACACTACGCACACACTACACGCACACACACACTACACACACACTACACGCTCACACTACACACACACACTACACAGACACTACACACTCACACTACACACACACACTACACACACTACGCACACACACTACACGCGCACACACACTACACACACACTACACACTCACACACACTACACACACACTACACACACACACTACACACACACACTACACTCACACTACACGCTCACACTACACACACACACACTACACACACACTACACACACACACACACTACACACACACTACACACTCACACATACTACACACTCACACTACACGCACACACTACACACACACACTACACACTCACACTACACACACACACTACACTCACACTACACGCTCACACTACACACACACACACTACACACACTACACACTCACACTCCACGCTCACACACAACACACACACACTACACACTCACACTACACACTCACACTACACACACACACTACACACACTACGCACACACACACTACACACACACTACACACTCACACACACTACACACACACTACACACACACACTACACACACACACTACACACACACACTACACTCACACTACACGCTCACACTACACACACACACACTACACACACACTACACACACACACTACACACACACTACACACTCACACATACTACACACTCACACTACACGCACACACTACACACACACACTACACACTCACACTACACACACACACTACACTCACACTACACGCTCACACTACACACACACACACTACACACACTACACACTCACACACCCTACACGCACACACTACACACACACACTACACACTCACACTACACACACACACTACACACACACTACACACACACTACACACACACTACACACACACTACACGCACACACTACACACACACTACACACACACACTACACGCTCACACCACACACACACACACACTACACTCACATTACACGCTCACACTACACGCTCACACTACACACACTACATGCTCACACACTACACACACACACTACACACACACACTACACACACTACACACACACACTACACACTACACACACAGTACACACAATACACTCACACTACACGCTCGCACTACACACACTACACACACACACTACACTCACACTACACACACTACACACACACACTACACACACACACTACACACACACACACACTACACACACTACACACACACTACACACACACTACACACACACACACTACACACACACTACACACACTACACACACACTACACGCTCGCACTACACACACACACTCACACTACACACACTACACACACACACTGCACGCTCACACTACACACTACACACACTACACACACACTACACACACTACACACACACACTACACACACACTACACTCACACTACACACTACACACACTACACACACTACACACACACTACACACACTACACACGCACACTACACACACACACTACACACACACACTACACACACTACACACACTACACACACACACTACACACACACTACACACACACACTACACTACACACACTACACACGCACACACTACACTCACACTACACACACACACTACACACACTACACACACACACTACACACACACACTACACACACACTACACACTCACACTACACACACACACTACACACACACACTACACTACACACACTACACACGCACACACTACACTCACACTACACGCTCACACTACACACACTACACGCTCACACACTGCACACACACACTACACACACACTACACACACACACTACACACACTACACGCTCACACACCACACACACACTACACACACACACTACACTACACACACACACACTGCACAGTGTCTCCGTGAATATTTGAGTCCTCCGCGTGCGATCGGCCACCCGCGGCGAGGGTGGTGGACGCCTCCGGGGTCGACGCCGGCCGTGATGGTGCGAGGGCCCCGCACCTCCTCGAAGGGCCGGGGGACTCGGCCCTCGAGCGCGAGCTCCTCCGCCAAGAAAGGCCGCCCTTGACGCCACGTGGCCAGCCGCCACGTGCCACCCCGCACGGCGCCTGCCGGCCTGGTTCGACGGACTGACGCGGCACAGGGGGAGGTGGAGGAGGGGAGTGGGGAGGTGGTGGTGGTGGAGGTGGTGGAGGAGGAGGTGGTGGAGGAGGTGGTGGAGGAGGTGGTGGAGGAGGTGGTGGAGGAGGTGGTGGAGGAGGTGGTGGAGGTGGTGGTGGAGGAGGAGATGGAGGTGGTGGAGGAGGAGGAGATGGAGGTGGTGGAGGAGGTAGAGGAGGTGGTGGTGGAGGAGGTAGAGGAGGTGGTGGTGGTGGAGGAGGAGATGGAGGTGGTGGAGGAGGAGGAGGAGGTGGTGGAGGAGGTAGAGGAGGTGGTGGTGGTGGAGGAGGTAGAGGAGGTGGTGGTGGTGGAGGAGGAGATGGAGGTGGTGGAGGAGGAGGATGTGCAAGGAGGAGGTGGAGGAGGAGGTGGAGGAGGAGGAGGAGATGGAGGCTCGTGAAGGACGCTCGCAACAACGAGCGGAGCGCCGGGTCGGATAAAACGCAACGAGTTGGCACAGCCACCCCCAGTCCCGTGACCTCCTCCTCCTCCTGCACCTAGCCTGGCACAGCAGTCAGCCCATGGCACCTGCTGGGTCTGTCACGTGACCTGCACCTAGCCTGGCACAGCAGTCAACCCATGGCACCTGCTGGGTCTGTCCCGTGACCTCCTCCTCCTGCACCTAGCCTGGCACAGCAGTCAACCCATGGCACCTGCTGGGTCTGTCACGTGGCCTGCACCTAGCCTGGCACAGCAGTCAGCCCATGGCACCTGCTGGGTCTGTCCCGTGGCCTGCACCTAGCCTGGCACAGCAGTCAGCCCATGGCACCTGCTGGGTCTGTCCCATGACCTCCTCCTCCTGCACCTAGCCTGGCACAGCAGTCAACCCACCTCCTGCACCTAGCCTGGCACAGCAGTCAACCCACGGCACCTGCTGGGTCTGTCCCGTGACCTCCTCCTCATGCACCTAGCCTGGCACAGCAGTCAGCCCATGATGAGCACGGTCGGTCTACGTATGGTGCGAAAAAAGTTCAACACACAAAGGCAAAGATCCCCCGCCTTGTACAGGCCTGGACAGGCTGCAGGGGCAAGTGCTGTTTGCGAGCAGCGCCTACAAAGGCCGGCACGGCACACCCAGGGGGTGGGTGGCCCGTGCCACGCCCGGCCGCCTTTGTCTCCCCCAGCGGTGATGGGGTTTTTTTCGCCGCACACCACCGCACCAGGTGACTCGTTTGAGGTTGAGTCGACCTAGGGGCGCGGTGGGGTGTGGTGGGGTGTGGTGTGGTGTGGTGTGGTGGGGTGTGATGGGGTGTGGTGGGTGGGTGTGGTGGGTGGGTGTGGTGGGTGGGTGTGGTGGGTGGGTGTGGTGGGTGGGTGTGGTGTGGTAGGGTTGGTGTGGTGGGGTTGGTGTGGTGGGGTTGGTGTGGTGGGGTGAGGTGTGGTGGGTGGGGTGTGGTGGGTGGGTGGGGTGGGTGGGGTGTGGTGGGTGTGGTGGGTGTGGTGGGTGTGGTGGGTGGGGGGTGTGGTGGGTGTGATGGGTGTGGTGGGTGGGATGTGTGGTGGGTGGGGGGTGTGGTGGGTGGGATGTGTGGTGGGTGGGGGGTGTGGTGGGTGTGGTAGGGTGTGGTGGGTGGGTGGGTGTGGTGGGTGGGTGCCGACGACGAGAGTAGCTTCTGTTATTCTTGCACCACCCCCCCCTGCTCCACCCCTCCCCCCTGCTCCACCCCGCCCCCCTCCTCCTCCACCCCGCCCCCTGCTCCTCCACCCCGCCCCCCTGCTCCACTCCTCCCCCCTGCTCCTCCACCCCTCCACCCCCCTCCGTCCTTGTAGATGTGAGGCTCGTGACAATGCGCAGCAACAAGGACGGTGACTCAGATAAAAGGTAAACAACAACAACAACACACAACAACAACAACACAACAACAACAACAACACACAACAACAACACACATCACAACACACAACAACACAACAAAAACAACAACACAACAACAACAACAACACAACAACAAAAACACACAACACAACACACAACAACACACAACAACAACAACACAACAACAACAACAACACACAACAACAACACACATCACAACACACAACAACACAACAACAACAACACAACAACACAACAACACACAACAACAACACACAACAACAACAACACAACAACACACAACAACAACAAACACGTACAACAACAATACACAACAACAACAAAACACACAACAACACAATTCACAACAACAACAAAACACACAACAACAACAACAAAACAACAGTTGTTGTGTGGTGGTGAGCGTAGTGTTGTGGTGGTGGTGGTGTAGTGAGTGTGGTGGTGGTGAGTGGTGGTGGTTGTGGTGAGTGTAGTGATGGTGGTGGTGTGGTGAGTGTAGTGGTGGCGGTGGTGTGGTGAGTGTGGTGAGTGTAGTCGTGTGGTGAGTGTAGTGGTGGTGTGGTGGTGTTGTGAGTGTGGCGGTGGTGGTGAGCGTAGTGTTGTGGTGAGCGTAGTGTTGTTGTGGTGGTGGTGGTGTTGTGAGTGTGGTGGTGGTGAGTGGTGGTGGTGTGGTGAGTGTAGTGGTGGTGGTGTAGTGAGTGTGGTGAGTGTAGTGGTGGCGGTGGTGTGGTGAGTGTAGTGGTGTGGTGAGTGTGGTGAGTGTAGTGGTGGTGGTGGTGTGGTGAGTGTGATGGTGGTGGTGGTGTGGTGAGTGTAGTGGTGTCGTGAGTGTGGTGAGTGTAGTGGTGGTGTGGTGAGTGTAGTGGTGGTGATGGTGTGGTGGTGGTGTGGTGAGTGTCATGGCGGTGATGTCGTGAATTTGGTTGACGCTAACCTCACCGCTGTGCTGCTGCTGCTGCTGCTATTGTGCTGCTGCTGCTATTGTGCTACTGCTATTGTGCTGCTGCTATTGTGCTACTGCTATTGTTCTGCTGCTGCTATTGTTCTGCTGCTATTGTGCTACTGCTATTGTGCTGCTACTGCTATTGTGTTACTGCTATTGTTCTGCTGCTGCTGCTGCTGCTATTGTGCTGCTACTGCTATTGTGCTGCTGCTACTGCTATTGTTCTGCTGCTGTTATTGTGCTTCTGCTATTGTTCTGCTGCTGCTGCTGCTATTGTGCTACTGCTATTGTGCTGCTGCTATTGTGCTACTGCTATTGTGCTACTGCTATTGTGTTACTGCTATTGTGCTGCTGCTATTGTGCTTCTGCTATTGTGCTGCTGCTGCTATTGTGCTGCTGCTACTGCTATTGTGCTGCTACTGCTATTGTGTTACTGCTATTGTTCTGCTGCTGCTGCTGCTGCTATTGTGCTACTGCTATTGTGCTGCTACTGCTATTGTGCTGCTGCTATTGTGTTACTGCTATTGTTCTGCTGCTGCTGCTATTGTGTTACTGCTATTGTGCTACTGCTGCTATTGTGTTACTGCTATTGTGCTACTGCTATTGTTCTGCTGCTGCTATTGTTCTGCTGCTATTGTGCTACTGCTATTGTGCTACTGCTATTGTGCTACTGCTATTGTGCTACTGCTATTGTGCTGCTGCTATTGTGCTGCTGCTGCTATTGTGCTGCTACTGCTATTGTACTACTGCTATTGTGCTGCTGCTATTGTGCTGCTACTGCTATTGTGCTGCTGCTGCTATTGTGCTGCTGCTGCTATTGTGCTACTGCTATTGTTCTGCTGCTGCTGCTATTGTGCAGCCCACTGCAGCTGCAGGACGTCGTCCGAGATCGCTCGCCAATCCGCAGGTAACCCGACGCTCGGCCTGTCACCAACTCTCACCCACGGCAAATACCGCTCCTCGCCTCGGCGAGCTTAGCCCCCCCACCTCCACCACCACCACCGGCTTCCTGTCTAGGCACGAGCCCGATATTGACTCGGCCCGGTCAGTGTGGACGGGAAAACCGGAGGACCCGGAGAAAAATCCGCGTGACCACGGAGAGAGGGAGAGAGAGAGAGACGCAGACTCCAAATGTCGAGCTGCAGGCATCGTCAGGGTCGGGATGGAACCCACGACCTCCTGTGTACCAGGCGAGGTAGTCAACATCTCATAGCCACTGTGATGATGATGATGATGAGAGAAACGCAGACTCCACATAGACCTCTTGTAGACCAGACGAGGTAGTCAACATCTCCTAGCCACCGTGATGATGAGAGAGACACAGACTCCACATAGACCTCCTGTAGACCAGGCGAGGTAGTCAACATCTCTTGGCCACCGTGATGATGAGAGACACAGACTCCACATAGACCTCCTGTGTACCAGGCGAGGTAGTCAACATCTCCTAGCCACCGTGATGATGAGAGAGAGACACAGACTCCACATAGACCTCCTGTAGACCAGGCGAGGTAGTCAACATCTCATAGCCACTGTGATGATGATGATGATGAGAGAGACGCAGACTCCACATAGACCTCTTGTAGACCAGACGAGGTAGTCAACATCTCCTAGCCACCGTGATGATGAGAGAGACACAGACTCCACATAGACCTCCTGTAGACCAGGCGAGGTAGTCAACATCTCCTAGCCACCGTGATGATGACAGAGACACAGACTCCACATAGACCTCCTGTGTACCAGGCGAGGTAGTCAACATCTCCTAGCCACCGTGATGATGAGAGAGAGACACAGACTCCACATAGACCTCCTGTAGACCAGGCGAGGTAGTCAACATCTCCTAGCCACCGTGATGATGATGAGAGAGACACAGACTCCACATAGACCTCCTGTAGACCAGGCGAGGTAGTCAACATCTCATAGCCACCGTGATGATGAGAGAGAGACACAGACTCCACATAGACCTCCTGTAGACCAGGCGAGGTAGTCAACATCTCCTAGCCACCGTGATGATGATGATGAGAGAGAGACACAGACTCCACATAGACCTCCTGTAGACCAGGCGAGGTAGTCAACATCTCCTAGCCACCGTGATGATGATGATGATGAGAGAGAGACACAGACTCCACATAGACCTCCTGTAGACCAGGCGAGGTAGTCAACATCTCATAGCCACCGTGATGATGAGAGAGAGACACAGACTCCACATAGACCTCCTGTAGACAAGGCGAGGTAGTCAACATCTCCTAGCCACCGTGATGATGATGATGAGAGAGAGACACAGACTCCACATAGACCTCCTGTAGACCAGGCGAGGTAGTCAACATCTCCTAGCCACCGTGGTGATGATGATGATGAGAGAGACGCAGACTCCACATAGACCTCCTGTAGACCAGGCGAGGTAGTCAACATATCCTAGTCACCGTGATGATGATGAGAGAGACACAGACTCCACATAGACCTCCTGTAAACCAGGCGAGGTAGTCAACATCTCCTAGCCACCGTGATGATGAGAGAGAGACACAGACTCCACATAGACCTCCTGTGTACCAGGCGAGGTAGTCAACATCTCCTAGCCACCGTGATGATGAGAGAGAGACACAGACTCCACATAGACCTCCTGTAGACCAGGCAAGGTAGTCAACATCTCCTAGCCACCGTGATGATGAGAGAGAGACACAGACTCCACATAGACCTCCTGTAAACCAGGCGGGGTAGTCAACATCTCCTAGCCACCGTGATGATGATGAGAGAGACACAGACTCCACATAGACCTCCTGTATACTAGGCGAGGTAGTCAACATCTCATAGCCACCGTGATGATGAGAGAGAGACACAGACTCCACATAGACCTCCTGTAGACCAGGCGAGGTAGTCAACATCTCCTAGCCACCGTGATGATGATGATGATGATGAGAGAGAGACACAGACTCCACATAGACCTCCTGTGTACCAGGCGAGGTAGTCAACATCTCACAGCCACCGTGATGATGAGAGAGAGACACAGACTCCACATAGACCTCCTGTATACCAGGCGAGGTAGTCAACATCTCCTAGCCACCGTGATGATGAGAGAGAGACACAGACTCCACATAGACCTCCTGTGTACCAGGCGAGGTAGTCAACATCTAGCCACCGTGATGATGAGAGAGAGACACAGACTCCACATAGACCTCCTGTGTACCAGGCGAGGTAGTCAACATCTCCTAGCCACCGTGATCTTCACCCGTTGCGTTTGTCACCTTTCGTGCTCAGGCCCGACACGACCGTGAATTTGCAGCATCCCTCGGTGCCCGTGCACAACAAGAAAGGTCGGTAGCCTGGGGTCTGTGCCCTTTCATGTGTCTCTGTGCGTCTCTGTGTGTCTCTGTATGTCTCTGTGGGTCTCTGTGTGTCTCTGTGGGTCTCTGTGGGTCTCTGTGGGTCTCTGTGGGTCTCTGTGGGTCTCTGTGGGTCTCTGTGGGACTCTGTGGGTCTCTGTGGGTCTCTGTGTGTCTCTGTGTGTCTCTGTGTGTCTCTGTGGGTCTCTGTGTGTCTCTGTGGGTCTCTGTGGGTCTCTGTGGGTCTTTGTGTGTCTCTGTGTGTCTCTGTGGGTCTCTGTGTGTCTATGTGTTTCTCTGTGTGTCTCTGTATGTCTCTGTGTGTCACTGTGGGTCTCTTTGGGTCTCTGTGTGTCACTGTGGGTCTCTGTGTGTCACTGTGGGTCTCTTTGGGTCTCTGTGGGTCTCTTTGTGTCTCTGTGTGTCTCTGTGGGTGTCTGTGTGTCTCTGTGTGTCTCTGTGTGCCTCTGTGGGTGTCTGTGTCACTGTGTGTCTCTGTGTGTCTCTGTGGGTCTCTGTGTGTCTCTGCGTGTCTCTGTGGGACTCTGCGGGTCTCTGTGTGTCTCTGTGGGTCTCTGTGTGTCTCTGCGTGTCACTGTGGGTCTCTGTGTGTCACTGTGGGTCTCTTTGGGTCTCTGTGTGTCTCTGTGTGTCTCTGTGTGTCACTGTGTGTCTCTGTGGGTCTCTGTGTGTCTCTGTGGGTCTCTGTGGGTCTCTGTATGTCTCTGTGGGTCTGTGGGTCTCTGTGTGTCTCTGTGGGACTCTGTGTGTCTCTGTGTGTCTCTGTGGGACTCTGTGGGTCTCTGTATGTCTCTGTGTATCTCTATGTGTCTCTGTGTGTCTCTGTGTGTCACTGTGGGTCCCTGTGTGTCTCTGTGTGTCTCTGTGTGTCTCTGTGTATCTCTATGTGTCTCTGTGTGTCTCTGTGTGTCACTGTGGGTCCCTGTGTGTCTCTGTGGGTCTCTGTGTGTCTCTGTGTGTCTCCGTGTGTCTCTGTGTGTCTCTGTGTGTCTCTGTGTGTCTCTGTGTGTCTCTGTGTGTCTCTATGCACCTCTGTGTGTCTCTGTGTGTCTCTATGCACCTCTGTGTGTCCCTGTGTATCCCTGTGTATCCCTGTGTGTCTCTGTGTGTCTCTGTGTATCTCTGTGTGTCTCTGTGTGTCTCTGTGTATCTCTGTGTGTCTCTGTGTGTCTCTGTGTGTCTCTGTGTGTCTCTGTGGGTCTCTGTGGGTCTCTGTGTGTCTCTGTGTTTCTCTGTGTGTCTCTATATCTCTGTGTATCTCTGTGTGTTTCTGTGTGTCTCTGTGTGTCTCTATGCACCTCTGTGTGTCTCTGTGTGTCTCTGTGTGTCTCTGTGTGTCTCTATGCACCTCTGTGGGTCTCTGTGTGTCTCTGTGTGTCTCTATGCACCTCTGTGTGTCTCTATGTATCTCTGTGGGTCTCTGTGGGTCTCTGTGTGTCTCTATGCACCTCTGTGTCTCTATGCACCTCTGTGTGTCTCTGTGTGTCTCTGTGTGTCTCTATGTATCTCTGTGGGTCTCTGTGGGTCTCTGTGTGTCTCTATGCACCTCTGTGGGTCTCTGTGTGTCTCTGTGTGTCTCTATGCACCTCTGTGTGTCTCTATGCACCTCTGTGTGTCTCTGTGTCTCTGTGTGTCTCTGTGTGTCTCTGTGTGTCCCTGTGTATCCCTGTGTGTCTCTGTGTGTCTCTGTTTGTCTCTGTGTGTCTCTGCGTGTCTCTGTGGGTCTCTGTGTGTCTCTATGCACCTCTGTGGGTCTCTGTGTGTCTCTGTGTGTCTCTATGTATCTCTGTGTGTCGCTGTATGTCTCTGTGTATCTCTGTGTGTCTCTATGTATCTCTGTGTGTCCCTGTGTATCCCTGTGTGTCTCTGTGTGTCTCTGTGTGTCTCTGTGTGTCTCTGTGTGTCCCTGTGTGTCTCTGTGTGTCTCTATGCACCTCTGTGTGTCTCTGTGTGTCTCTGTGTGTCTCTGTGTGTCTCTGTGTGTCTCTGTGGGTCTCTGCGTGTCTCTGTATGTCTCTGTGTGTCTCTGCGTGTCTCTGTGAGTCTCTGTGGGTCTCTGTGTGTCTCTGTGTGTCTCTGTGTGTCTCTGTGTGTCTCTATGCACCTCTGTGTGTCTCTGTGTGTCTCTGTGTGTCTCTATGCACCTCTGTGTGTCCCTGTGTATCCCTGTGTATCCCTGTGTGTCTCTGTGTGTCTCTGTGTATCTCTGTGTGTCTCTGTGTGTCTCTGTGTGTCTCTGTGTATCTCTGTGTGTCTCTGTGTGTCTCTGTGTGTCTCTGTGTGTCTCTGTGTGTCTCTGTGTGTCTCTGTGTTTCTCTGTGTGTCTCTATATCTCTGTGTATCTCTGTGTGTTTCTGTGTGTCTCTCTGTGTCTCTATGCACCTCTGTGTGTCTCTGTGTGTCTCTGTGTGTCTCTGTGTGTCTCTATGCACCTCTGTGGGTCTCTGTGTGTCTCTGTGTGTCTCTATGCACCTCTGTGTGTCTCTATGTATCTCTGTGGGTCTCTGTGGGTCTCTGTGTGTCTCTATGCACCTCTGTGTGTCTCTATGCACCTCTGTGTGTCTCTGTGTGTCTCTGTGTGTCTCTATGTATCTCTGTGGGTCTCTGTGGGTCTCTGTGTGTCTCTGTGGGACTCTGTGTGTCTCTGTGTGTCACTGTGTGTCTCTGTGTGTCTCTGTGGGTCGCCGTGTGTCTCTGTGGGTCTCTGTGTGTCTCTGTGTGTCTCTGTGTGTCTCTGTGGGTCTCTGTGTGTCTCTGTGTGTCTCTGTGTGTCTCTGTGGGTCCCTGTGTGTCTCTGTGTGTCTCTGTGGGTGTCTGTGTGTCACTGTGGGTCTCTTTGGGTCTCTGTGTGTCTCTGTGGGACTCTGTGTGTCTCTGTGTGTCTCTGTGGGTCTCTGTGGGTCTCTGTGTGTCTCTGTGGGTCCCTGTGTGTCTCTGTGTGTCTCTGTGGGTGTCTGTGTGTCACTGTGGGTCTCTGTGGGTCTCTGTGTGTCTCTGTGTGTCTCTGTGGGTCTCTGTGTGTCTCTGTGTGTCCCTGTGTATCTCTGTGTATCTCTGTGTGTCTCTATGCACCTCTCTGTGTCTCTGTGTGTCTCTATGCACCTCTGTGTATCTCTGTGGGTCTCTGTGTGTCTCTGTGTGTCTCTGTGTGTCTCTGTGGGTCTTTGTGTGTCTCTGTGTGTCTCTGTGGGACTCTGTGTGTCTCTGTGTGTCTCTGTGTGTCACTGTGGGTCTCTGTGGGTCTCTGTGTGTCTCTGTGTGTCTGTGTGTGTCTCTATGCACCTCTGTGGGTCTCTGTGTGTCTCTGTGTGTCTCTGTGTATCTCTGTGTGTCTCTGTGTGTCTCTGTGTATCTCTGTGTGTCTCTGTGTGTCTCTGTGTGTCTCTGTGGGTCTCTATGTACCTCTGTGTGTCTCTATGTACCTCTGTGTGTCTCTGTGGGTCTCTGTCTGTCTCTGTGTGTCTCTGTGGGTCTCTGTGTGTCTCTGTGTGTTTCTGTATGTCTCTGTGGGTCTCTGTGTGTCTCTGTGTATCTCTGTGTATCTCTGTGTGTCTCTGTGTGTCTCTGTATATCTCTGTGTGTCTCTGTGTGTCTCTGTATATCTCTGTGTGTCTCTGTGTGTCTCTGTGTGTCTCTGTGTATCTCTTTGTATCTCTGTGTGTCTCTGTATATCTCTGTGTATCTCTGTGTCTCTCTGTGTATCTCTGTGTGTCTCTGTGTATCTCTGTGTGTCTCTGTGTGTCTCTGCGTGTCTCTGTGTGTCTCTGTGTGTCTCTGTGTGTCTCTGTGTGTCTCTGTGTGTCTCTGTGTGTCTCTGCGTGTCTCTGTGTGTCTCTGTGTATCTCTTTGTGTCTCTGTATATCTCTGTGTGTCTCTGTGTATCTCTGTATATCTCTGTGTGTCTCTGTGGGTCTCTGTGGGTCTCTGTGTGTCTCTGTGTGTCTCTATGTGTCTCTATATCTCTGTGTATCTCTGTGTGTCTCTGTGTGTCTCTGTGTGTCTCTGTGTGTCTCTGTATATCTCTGTGTGTCTCTGTGTGTCTCTGTGTGTCTCTGTGTGTCTCTGTGGGTCTCTGTGTGTCTCTATGCACCTCTGTGGGTCTCTGTGTGTCTCTGTGTGTCTCTATGTATCTCTGTGTGTCGCTGTATGTCTCTGTGTATCTCTGTGTGTCTCTATGTATCTCTGTGTGTCCCTGTGTATCCCTGTGTGTCTCTGTGTGTCTCTGTGTGTCTCTGTGTGTCTCTGTGTGTCCCTGTGTGTCTCTGTGTGTCTCTATGCACCTCTGTGTGTCTCTGTGTGTCTCTGTGTGTCTCTGTGTATCTCTGTGTGTCTCTGTGGGTCTCTGCGTGTCTCTGTATGTCTCTGTGTGTCTCTGCGTGTCTCTGTGAGTCTCTGTGGGTCTCTGTGTGTCTCTGTGTGTCTCTGTGTGTCTCTGTGTGTCTCTATGCACCTCTGTGTGTCTCTGTGTGTCTCTGTGTGTCTCTATGCACCTCTGTGTGTCCCTGTGTATCCCTGTGTATCCCTGTGTGTCTCTGTGTGTCTCTGTGTATCTCTGTGTGTCTCTGTGTGTCTCTGTGTGTCTCTGTGTATCTCTGTGTGTCTCTGTGTGTCTCTGTGTGTCTCTGTGTGTCTCTGTGTGTCTCTGTGTGTCTCTGTGTTTCTCTGTGTGTCTCTATATCTCTGTGTATCTCTGTGTGTTTCTGTGTGTCTCTCTGTGTCTCTATGCACCTCTGTGTGTCTCTGTGTGTCTCTGTGTGTCTCTGTGTGTCTCTATGCACCTCTGTGGGTCTCTGTGTGTCTCTGTGTGTCTCTATGCACCTCTGTGTGTCTCTATGTATCTCTGTGGGTCTCTGTGGGTCTCTGTGTGTCTCTATGCACCTCTGTGTGTCTCTATGCACCTCTGTGTGTCTCTGTGTGTCTCTGTGTGTCTCTATGTATCTCTGTGGGTCTCTGTGGGTCTCTGTGTGTCTCTGTGGGACTCTGTGTGTCTCTGTGTGTCACTGTGTGTCTCTGTGTGTCTCTGTGGGTCGCCGTGTGTCTCTGTGGGTCTCTGTGTGTCTCTGTGTGTCTCTGTGTGTCTCTGTGGGTCTCTGTGTGTCTCTGTGTGTCTCTGTGTGTCTCTGTGGGTCCCTGTGTGTCTCTGTGTGTCTCTGTGGGTGTCTGTGTGTCACTGTGGGTCTCTTTGGGTCTCTGTGTGTCTCTGTGGGACTCTGTGTGTCTCTGTGTGTCTCTGTGGGTCTCTGTGGGTCTCTGTGTGTCTCTGTGGGTCCCTGTGTGTCTCTGTGTGTCTCTGTGGGTGTCTGTGTGTCACTGTGGGTCTCTTTGGGTCTCTGTGTGTCTCTGTGTGTCTCTGTGGGTCTCTGTGTGTCTCTGTGTGTCCCTGTGTATCTCTGTGTATCTCTGTGTGTCTCTATGCACCTCTCTGTGTCTCTGTGTGTCTCTATGCACCTCTGTGTATCTCTGTGGGTCTCTGTGTGTCTCTGTGTGTCTCTGTGTGTCTCTGTGGGTCTCTGTGTGTCTCTGTGTGTCTCTGTGGGACTCTGTGTGTCTCTGTGTGTCTCTGTGTGTCACTGTGGGTCTCTGTGGGTCTCTGTGTGTCTCTGTGTGTCTGTGTGTGTCTCTATGCACCTCTGTGGGTCTCTGTGTGTCTCTGTGTGTCTCTGTGTATCTCTGTGTGTCTCTGTGTGTCTCTGTGTATCTCTGTGTGTCTCTGTGTGTCTCTGTGTGTCTCTGTGGGTCTCTATGTACCTCTGTGTGTCTCTATGTACCTCTGTGTGTCTCTGTGGGTCTCTGTCTGTCTCTGTGTGTCTCTGTGGGTCTCTGTGTGTCTCTGTGTGTTTCTGTATGTCTCTGTGGGTCTCTGTGTGTCTCTGTGTATCTCTGTG